TGCCAATGTGTACGGCACGTCACGGTACCAGGAGTCGGTGTTCACAAGGGAGGCAGAGGAGTCCTGTGAAAGAATAATAATGAAACTATTCGAATAAAGGGAGAGCCCATGGGACATATTCCTGGGGGTCCCCCAACCTACAGTAGGAGGCAGCCCCATTTTATCCGACTTTTCCCGACTGCAAGAGGGTACAGACTGCTCCATCCACCTAGGAAGTTTAAGACAGGATGTTCATTTGACACATTAAAGGTATTCATGTCATTTAGATATTCCAGATATTCAGGTGGTTTAACATATTCAAGGGATCATGTAATTTAAATATTCCAGGTATTCAGGTAGTTAACACTTTTAACACATTCAAGGGGTAATATCTTTAGATATTCCAGATATTCAGGTAGTTTACATATTCAAGGGATCACTTAGTTTCAATATTCTTTCTTATCTTAAGTATCAGTTCACACAGGCTTCTTTTGTTCCTTTCCTGAGCCTGGGTGTGCACAGGCTCCTTTTGTAAAGACATGAAACTGGTGTTCCTATCAAATGAGACAAACTGGGAGCTCAGGGCCAGAGAGGATAAACCCCAATCATAGAATCATAGAATGGTTTGGGTTGGAAAGGACCTCAAAGATCATCCAGTTCCAACCCCCCTGCCATGGGCAGGGACACCTTCCACTAGACCAGGTTGCTCCAAGCCTCATCCAGCCTGGCCTTGAACACTTCCAGGGATGGGGCATCCACAGCTTCTCTGGGCAACCTGTTCCAGTGCCTCACCACCCTCTCCAGGAAGAACTTCTTCCTGATATCTAATCTAAATCTCCCCACTTTCAATTTAAACCCATTACCCCTTGTCCTGTCACTACAGGCCCTTGTAAAAAGCCCCCCCCAGCTTCCTTGTAGGTGCTATACTTGTAGGTGCTTACTGGAAGGTGCTATAAGGTACCCCAGAGCCTCCTGTTCTCCACGCTGAACAAGCCCAACGCTCTCAGCCTTTCTTCATAGGAGAGGTATGAAGAAAGATATGAAGAAGGTATGAAGTATGAAGCCACCCAAAGCTGGCTTTCTACAACACAGCAGGTTACAAACAGGTGGATCAGCAGTTCCTTTGCTAACAGTGGCCATTTGGAGCCTGAGACCCAGGAACCACCTCTCTTTTCCACTAAAGAAGTACTTGCCCATTGCTCAAAGAGAGATTGTGCATCACTGGGGAGCGAGGCAGGGCGTGGGGGCTGCAGCACCGGTGAACCCCCCACTCCCCAAGCTCACCACAGTCCAGCTTTGCAAGAGTACAACAGCAATCCCACACTGCTGAAGTCCTGTGATCTCTGTGTAATCAACTAGTCTTGCAGCTACCACGTAAACAGAAGGAAGATTCGCTCACCACGGCTTTATTTGGGTATTTTTAATTCTGCCAGAGCAGGGAAAGTCCACCTGTGCGAGCACCCCCACGTTCTCACTTGCCACCATCACCTTCCGGCAGCCGCCGCCCTCTCACAGCACCCGGCCCCGCTGCGGTCAGGGAAGAAAAAACGCTTCCTGCTGCCTCGTGCTTTCGAAGATGCAGAGCAGGCCCCCTCCCCGCTCGCCGGGCGG